TTGAGGGGGGGGGGGAGGGGGCTCATGTAAACGTTGGCCATAGACTGCGCATCCCTACAATTCCGGGACGGAGCGATATCTGCCGGTTCAGGTTACGTTTCGCAAGGACTAACCGGAAACTGGTAACCATCATTTGTTTTGGCTCTGCCACACCAGATATGCTACGGGTTGATTGGGCATCCCGGCTAACAAAACGTTCTACATTGGGCTGGTGGCAGGGGAGATGAGGTTCGAGCGGTTGATATTTGTACCGTACCGCGTGATTTGCTGGCACAAGCGGTTTATTTAAGGAGTGCCTCGCCCAGCAGATGCGAAGAGAGTGGAACAAGTCCCGCTGGTCACACGAAAACATTTTCATCCCCACAACCAACAACCATGGCAGCGGTCGGGTGTGCGTCCGCTCCTGGCCGTCTGTGACCATACAGCCACGCACACCCGATCTGATGTTGACATGATGGCAGAACGGTTACCCACGGGAAACATACCGTTCCGTGACCATTTTCAAGCGGGAACGTAGCTTTGACCGGATTGTTGTTGTTGTCTTGAACTCAACCCCCCTTCTGATCTCTCTGCTTTAGTACCTTCCACTGTCCGCAAAGGAAAATTGAGAGTACGCTCGGCACGTTTTCGTCCCGCCTGTCCACTGTTCCCCCCGCCAGGTGAAAGACTGCCTCGTCTATCTGCGGCTGGCCGCCAACCCGCGCGACGCCCTCGCGATGCGCCGCGCCATCAACACTCCGACTCGGGGCATCGGCGCCAAGACCGAGCAAGCCCTCGAGGCCCTCTCCAGGTCCGCGCGGAAGGTCGTCCCGGGCCTCACCCTGCCGGAGTGCCTCCTGTCCTTGCTGGAAGACGGACAGCTCGACGAGCTCGAGGGGGTGCTCGGGGCACCGTGGGATGAATCCGGGGCGCCGTCGTTTCCGCAGGAGGGGGCGTTTGGGGGCGGGGTGGGCACGTGGCCGGGGGAGAGCTACGACGACGCGTTCGGGGGGGACGCGGAAGAGAACGAGGACGGGTGGAGGGGGTTCTCGGTCCTGCGGGTGAGGGCCCTGAGGGAGGCGTTCTCGGAGAGGGGGGACGAGATCGAGGGGCCGACGAAGGCCCAGGCGAACAAGCTCCGGGTGTTCGCGAGGCTGCTGTGCAGGCTGAGGGTGGCCTCGGCAACCCAGACCGTGCCAGAGCTGCTGAGGACCGTGCTGGAAGAAACGGGCATGCGCAAGTGAGTCGTGTGTCTCGCGGCGGCGGCGGCGGCGTAATATTCGCGGTACACCCTCTTTACTGTATCCCAGTTCCCCACACGCTCGGGAGACTGACTGAGGGGACACTGAATGGTTTGCTTTTTTGCTGGGTTGAGTGAGGCGTTTTTCGGGTGGCTTCCCTGACAGAAGCAAGTCCTGACCAATGTGTCGGTCGAGCGTGAGGCGCAGCCCCGGGGATGATTCCCGGGGATGATTTAGGCTTGAGCCGATTAGAAACCCTCATGATGCCGGTGTGTGATTTAGACCAAGTTTGTTCTCTGGTAGTGACGGTTGTGATGGGAGAGCATCGGCATAAGGAACGCAAAGCGTGCAAATAGAGGCATTTGTTGCCGTTTTCCACAGGTTTACGCTGGCCGAACAAACTAAACACGCACCCCGAGGGATGTCGGAAGCGAAACGCTCGAATCGCCCTTTTCCCCACCACCGATTATTCATATCAAACACGACGACGACAATGTTCAGACAGCATCGGCAACTTGAAATAAGTAGCGGACAACAACGACAGCCGCAACATCAACAAGCATAGCAACGGAACAACAACGTGACAGCAACAACGTAGCATTGTTCAGAATAAGCACACACCTTAGCAATGTATCAACTACGTAGAAAACAGCGTCAGCAACGGCATGGCTAATACCAACCAAGCCGCAACATCAAGAGTAGCAACGCTAGCAAGGCAACAACGGTAAGAATAGCAGCATGAGCAACAGCATACTCCAGAGTAGACGACAATAACAGCAGTAACAGCAATATCAGCAATAACAACAACGAACGACGACGTTAACGTTAACCGCAGGCACGTCACGGAGACCCTCTCGACGACGGGCCCGGCGGAGGGTGAGGACCGCTGGCAGAACGTCGTCGAGCTGGAGAGGGCGGCCTCCAACCCCAAGTTCTCCGGAACCGCAGGAGACGGCGCGCTCGTGGCCTTCCTCAACGAGGTCTCCCTGGTAGGAGGAGACGACCCCGAGCAGGCTCGAAAGCAGCGCGAGGAGGAAGAGGCCGCAGCCGCAGCGGGGGGGGGGAATGGGGGACAAGCGTCCCCTGTCCCCGGGGTGAAGCCGCCTATGATTCAGTTGATGACGGTGCACGCGTCGAAGGGGCTCGAGTTTGATACCGTGTTCGTGGCCGGCTGCGAGGAGGGGACGTTTCCGATGAAGGACACCACCGACGATGAGATGGACGAGGAGCGCAGACTCATGTGAGCACGTGTATAGTTTTTTGTTCGTTCCCCATGAAGGAAACACTGATAACGAGATGGACTCACGTGAGAGAACGTTTTTCGTTTTTTTTTTTCCTTGTTTGTTTGCTGAGGTTGCGGACAAGCGGAGAACACCGCCGGAGGGCCTGACCCGGTTTGTCGTGATAGTTGGCGTGTTTCTGAGAAAGGGAGTCCGGTTTTCTGACCGTGGTAGTCAGGCTCATGTGAGATAGTCAGGCTTGTGTTTGAGATATATATGTACATCACTATATAGTGTTGTGTCGCTTCTTTGCTGTTGGCGTTGTTTGTAGACATGACTTTTTTTTTTGTTTACTCCTTGTGCTGGTGTGCGTTTTGGGTTCTTTGTTTCCTTGGCTGCTTGTATTATGCTCATCTGAGTTTTTTTTCTTTGCATTTTTTACTGTCCTTCCTCTTTAGACTCGGTGTGGGCGCAGCACATCGGCGGGTATGCCCTTTTGTTTGTGTGTGTGTGAAAGGTCTAGTCGGGGCTTGGTGTAACCTGAGGTGCTTGTTCCCTAGTGGGTGGTCCGTGCTGAGGGTGTGACGTGTCGCACCCAAAAAGCTGTGTGGCGGTACTAGTGAACCGGGGCAGCCGCCATTCGAATACACACGCTCGTCGCGCATGTCACAGTATTTTTTGTTGGTTCATTGCGATACATTGGTAGGTGGTGGTGTCACCGGCGTGGCATGAGTGGCTCATGACATGTTTGATACCTCTAGTGTCTCTGAAACCATGCAGCGGGGAGGGAGGGGGGCTCTAAAGATGCTACGCAGGTCAGCTGCAAACCCTTCCTAGCCTGAGTTGTAACAACACCCTGCTGTCGTGTGTACTCAAATTATCTTCTCGGCGCTATGGGCCGTGCGTCTCCTCCCTTGTTTGTTACACCTACTTCGTATTGTACTCATCATGATGCGCAATTTTGCAAATATCACACAAGATGCTGCCACGAAATTTTACAAAAACGAATCAACGTGAATGCTGCCACCAATCGTCATGTGCTACGTGCAGGTACGTCGGGATGACGAGAGCGAAGGCGCGTCTGTTCCTCACCTGGCGGAGGAAACGCATGGTCTTCGGCCAGAGCTGGGGCAAGCGGGACAAGACCGGCGCTCAGATAATGGACGCCGACCGAAGCCGCTTCCTCGACGACATCCCGCGCAACATCGTCCGCACCATCGACAAGACCGGGGGCGGGGGCGGGGGCGTCGGCGCCGGTGCCGGAGCGGGAAGCAGGCGCGGAGCATACGGCGGCGGCGGCGGCGGTCGATCGCAAAGCTCTCAGCGCCGAAGCGAGTACGGCGCCTCTCCGGCATACGGTGGTGGTGGTGGCGGCGGCGGCGGCGGTGGTGGTGGTGGAAGGCGAGGGACAGCAAGAGGGAGAAGTGGTGTGTCGGAGCCAGAGAGCGACCCGACCATGGACTTCATGACCGAGCTGTCCAACGACATTTCGCGGCAAGCGACCGCACGAAGGTCCCCGGGCGGTTACGTGCCCGGCTACGGCAACAGCGGCCGAGGGGGGGGAGGGCGGCGTGCGGGGTACGGGGAAGGCGGCGGGCGGGGGAGGGGGGGGGGGTCCTACTCTT